TTGAGACAGGGTCTCTGTTGACCCAGCTAGAGTGCCGTGGCATCAGCCTAGCTCACGGCAACCTCAAACTCCTGGGCTCAAGCGATCCTCCCGCCTCAGCCTCCCGAGCAGCGGGGACTACAGGCCTGCAACATCACGCCAGGCTAATTTTTCCATTTTTTGTAGAGACAGGGTCTCGCTCTTGCTCAGGCTGGTCTCGAACTCCTGAGCTCAAGTGATCCTCCGGCCTCAGCCTCCTAGAGTGCTGGGATTACAGGTGTGAGCCACCGCACCCAGCACAAACGACCTTCATCTGGCTACAGCTAAGGACAGCCCGCTGTCCATCACCACTTGGGCTGCTCTCCTGCGAGCAGCTCTCAGCTGACTTTGTCAGGAGTCCTTTTCCATTCACTTGTGGTTCACGGAGTTCTGTGTGCCGCTCCTCTTTTATTCTCTCTCTGTGTCTCTCGTTTGGTTTTTCTGATGCCCTGTGATCCAGTTCAGCGCACGAAGCTCTCTGGTTCTGCCAGTCCGACAGAGTCCCATATCCCCCCTCCCCAACCCTGCCGCTACGTGGGCAGTTCAGTCACATGGCGGGGTGGCACGGGCTCTCCCTTCTCCCTCCTGACTCTGCAGCACGAACCCAAAGGGCTGCCTATTGTCCTGGCGTGTGGCACGCAAAGTAGCCCCCTTCGTCCCTCCTCCCCCTTCCCGCGTGGCTGGGCGCTGGGCACTCACCATTTGGGCCCAGAGGAAGAAGAGCAGCTGGTGGGACAGGCAGTAGGCCGAGCAGCCCGGCCTGGTCATGAGGGCCCTGCAGGAGTCCGAGAGCCCACAGGGCTGGCCGCTGTCATACCTGTGGGCAAAGTGGTTCCGGGCTGTTAGGGTGGCGCCCCATTCCCGCCCTGTGCCTCCCCAGGCTGTGACCTCCCCACCAGCTGTTAGAATCCCCAGTAGGTTCCAGGCCCCCAGGTGGGCACAGGGTTGCCAGATCAAATACAGGTGTCCTGCACCTTGACTTGCTCAGTCTGGCACCCCTAGCAAAGGGAGGTGACGCTGGAGCTATCCTGGGGTTGGGGAAGCCACCAGGAGTTGAGACTTCCTGTAGCTCCATGGGACTCTCAAATAACATCTTTCCCAGCACTGCCTGAAACCGCGGATACTTGAATCCAGATGGCTTGGGGTCAGCACAACACTGCTCATTCCTCCTGCGCCTGGCCTGCCCCAGAAAAAAGGCAGGCAACAGGGGTGGGCCCAGCGTGCCCTGGCCCAAACACCTCTCTGAAGGACGCAGAGACAATGTGGCCAGCACCTGCTGCCACTCTGCCCAGGGCCTGGCTCCAAGCCCACCCAGCGGCTGGGTAAACCGGTTAGCCAAGGTAGGCTCAGTCCTGCCTCCGGGACCTGCAGCCCGTGGGGAGACAGGCCCCCCAGACAACTGCAAACTGCACGTGGCTCCCAGAGCGTAGCAGAGCCCATCAGGGAGGCCGCCGTGTGTGCGGGGGTCAGGGACAGTTCTGGAGGCAGGACGCTGGCGCTGGTCCTGGGGGGCCCAGTGACTTAGGTGCAGGGGAGGGGCGGGAGGAGCAGAGGCTTTGAAGTGGAGGGAGGTGGAGAGGATGAAAGGAGGCCCAGGGGCCAGGTCGCAGGCGTCGCCCAGCAGGGCATGGAGGAAACGGGACTTTGTCCAGGGAACAAAGGGAAGTGCAGGAAGTCGCACTGGAGGGGGTGCGCTCTGACATGGTTTGCAAAAGGACCCGCTGTGGGACCAGGAAAAGGGCCAGGTGGCCAGGGCGGCGCCCCACCCCGCGAGCCGAGAGTGGGTCTGCACAAACCCTGGGACTCGGCCCGGGGCATGTGGGGACGCGTGGCGGGTGGAGTGGCCGGGTCCCTACCGGGTTCCCAGCAGCTCCACCAGGCAGGAGTCACTGCTGTCCTCGGAGAAGGAGTCCTCGGGCTCGAAGGTCGGGTAGACCAAGGAGGCGTC